CCAACCGAGCCATGTGCCCTGACTGGGAATCGAACTGGCAACCCTTTGGTTTGCAGCCTGTGCTCAATCCACTGAGCTATACCAGCCAAGGCTAGATTTTTCTTGTTTCTTGATGTAGGCCTTTATCACTGTGAATTCCTCTCTTAGAACTGCTTTTGCTGGTTCTCGGTAATTTGGTATCATTCTGTTTCCATTTTCATTGGTTTCAAGATTTTAAAATAATTTCTCTTTGATTTCTTCATAAACTCATTTTTTAGGAGCATGTTATTTAGCCTCCACATGTTTATGTTTTTTTGTAAGTTTTCTTTTTGCAATTGATATCTAGTTTTATGCTATTGTGACCAGAAAAATAATATCATTTCAGTTTTCTTTAATTTATAGAAACTTGCTTTGTGGTCTAACAAGTGGTCCATTCTGGAAAATGTCCCATGTGCACTTGAAAACAAAGTTTATTCTGCTCTTCTGGGGTGGAATGTTTTGAATGTATCTATTAAATTCATCTTGATCTAATGTGCTCGATCTAATGTCACTGTCTCCTTGTTGAAGTTATATCTGGATGATCTATCTGTTGATATAAGGCTATTAAATTTCCTACTATTATTGTGTTACTGTCCCTCCCTTTATGTCTGTTAATATTTGCTTTATGTATTTAAGTGCCCCTATATTAGGTGCATAATATTTGTAAGTGTTACATCCTCTTGTTTGATTGTACTTTTTATCATTACGTGATGCCCTTCTGTGTCTCTTGTTACTCAGTTTAAGGTCCATTTAATATGATATAGGTATTGCTACTCAAGCTTTTTTTTATTACTATTTGTATGAAGTCTCTTTTTCCATTTCTTTACTCTCAGCGTTTGTGTGCCTTTCGATCTAAAGTAGGCTGCTGTTGGCAGCATTAACATGGCTCTGTTCTTATTCATCCTGATACCCCCTGTAATTGTGAATAGATATGTATTTATTGCTATTTTATTGTTTTCTGGTTGTTTTTGTGCTTCTTCTTTGTTCTTTTCTTCTTCTCTTGCTCTCTTTTCTTTTTTTTTACTTCTTAAATTTTTTATTTTTACATAAAAGATTTATCAACATTTAATTCATACATTATGCAATTCACCCATTTAAAGTGTGCCATTCAACATTTTTAGTACATGCACAAAGGTGTGTAACAATCACCAAAATCAATTTTTTGACTGTGTTCAGTTATAGTTGTCCACCTTTTTCCTCATTGCTCTCCCTGCCCCTTTCTCCCCACTCCCATGGTCAATCCCCCCCCTTGTCTGTGCCTGAGTCCTCTATTCATGTTCCCTGACTTGCCCTTGCCCCTTCTTTCCTCCATTATCCCCCTCATCCCCTTGTCACTGTCTGTATTTTATTTCCATGCCTTTGCTCATTTGTTTGTTTTAGAATAGATTCCACTTATATGGGAGATCATATGGTATTTGTCTTTCACCACCTGGCTTATTTCACTTAGCATAATACAGTACAGTTCTATTCATGCTATTGTGAAGGGTAGGAGCTTCTTCTTTCTCTCTCCTGCATAGTATTCCATTGTGTAAATATACCATAGTTTTTTGACATGCTCATTTACTGATGGGCACTTAGGTTGTTTCCATCACTTGGTTATTGTAAATTTTGCTGTTATAATCATTGGGGTGCATAGGCTCTTTGAATTGGTGATTCAGGATTCTTAGGGTATAATCCCAGCAGTGGAATTGCTGGATCAAAAGGCAGTTCCATCTTTAGCATTTTTGAGGAAACTCCACACTACTTTCCACAATGGCTGTACCAGTCTGCCTTCCCATCAAGAGTGCACTAGGGTTCTCTTTTCTCCACCTCTCTAGCACTTGATTCGTTAATGATGGCCATTCTGACCTTTGTGCAGTGATAGCTCATTGCCATTTTAATTTGCATCTCTTTAGTGACTAGTGATGTTGATCATTTTATCATGTGTCTGTGGGCCCTCTGTAGGTCCTCCTTGGAGAAGTTTCTATTCAGGTCCTTTGCCCATTTTTAAATTGTATTATTTGTCTTCCTGGTTTTAAGTCATATGAGTTCTTTATATATTTTGAAGATGAAACCCTTGTCCGAGGTACCATTGGCAATTGTATTTTCCAATATGGTTGTTTCCCTTTTCACTTTGTTGATGTTTTCTTTAGCTGTGCAGAAGCTTTTTAATTTGATGATGTCTCATTTGTTTATTCTTTCCTTTATATCCCCTGCCTTAGGGGATGTATCAGTGAAAATATTGCTGCGTGGGATATCTGAAATTATCCTGCCTATGTTCTCCTCTAGGACTTTTATGCTGTCATGACATATTTGTCTTTTATTCATCTTGAGTTTATTTTGGCATATGGTGTAAGCTGATGGTCTTCTTACTCTCTTTACTTGCACATTGATAGTCATATAGTGATTTGTTTAGGTTCCTTTAAAATGTTTTTTGTGCATCTATTTTTGGTTACTATGAGATTCATATGTAACAAGCCACGTTTACAGCAGTCTATTTTAAGTTAATAGTCACTTGAGTTTGAACACATTCTAAAAGCAGTACATTTTTTTACTCACCTTCATTTACATTTTTACACATTTTACATCTTTTGTGTGTGTATACATGTATATTAATTCATTATTGCCGTAGTTACACTTGCCTTTACTACTTTTGTCTTTTAACCTTCATATTAACTTTCTAATTGGTTGATCCACTATATTTACTAAACATTAGCCTTTATTAGGGAAATATTTTATTTTCTTATTTTTAGCTTTGGCTTTTCTTTTCAATTTAAAGAAGGCCCTTTAACATTTTTTGTAATGCCTGTTTTGTGAACTCATTTAGATTCTGCTTGTCTGGGACTTTTTCTCTCTCTCCATCTTTCTGGGTAGAGTATTATTGATGGTAGGCTTTCATCAGTTTGAATAGATTGTGCCATTCCCTTCTGGCCTACAAAGTTTCTCCTGAAAAATCACTTATAATCTTATCCAGGAATGCCTTGTACATCACTAACTGCTTTTCTCTTGCTGCATTTACGATTCTGTGTTTAACCTTTGGGATTTTAATGATCACATGTCTTGGTGTGGGGCTCATCTTTTTGGAACACACTGCTTCCTGGACTTGGATATCTGTTTACTCCAGTGGTTAGGAAAGTTTTCAGATATTTTCTTCAAATATGTTTACTGTTCCTTTTTTTTTTCTCTTCTCCTGGGAACCCTGATTTGAATGTTAGCAAGCATGAAGTTTTCCCAGAGGTCCCTTAAACTGTCTTAATACTCTGATTCTTTTTCCTTTTCGATCTTGATTATGTGATTTCCAGTACCTTAGCTTCCAGCTTGCTAAGTCATTCTTCTGATTCATCCAATTTGGTGTTGATTCCTGCTAGTGTTTTGTTTTTAATGATTGTATTCTTCAGTTTTGATAGGTTCATTTTTTTCTTTGTTGAACTCACTGAGTTCATCTATTCTCTCACATTAGTTGAGCATCTTTACAACCATTGTTTTGAACTCTATCTGGTAGATTGCTTGTCTGTTTTTCTGGTTTTCTTCTCTGTTATTTTTTAAACATATTTGTGTCATTTTGGCTGTCTCTGTCTTTTTCTATGCATTAGGTGAAACAGCGACCTCCCCTGTTCCTGAAGGAGGAGTAGCCTTGTGTGGGAGCTTTCCTTCATACACTGTGTGTGCTGAGTTTCTCTGCAGGGCAGCAGGGGCTGGAGCTGGAGTCAGCCACAGGGAGCCCTGGGGGCAAGCCTCCAAGGGGCCGCCTAGGCTGAGGCTGTAGCTGGATTCGGTTTGGGCCCAGGGGAGTCCCAGAAGTAAACTGACCTGAGGCCTGAAGCTACAGCTGGGTTGTGCATGGCCTGTGGAAAGTCCTGGGGGCAAGCCACACTGGGATCCAGTTTTACCTGGAGCACATGTGCACCATGGTGAGTCCCAAGGGCAAGCTGTACTGGGAATGCCCCGGCAGGCCATTTGGAGTTGTACTTGGAGTGGGCTCAGACCATGGATAGTCCTGGAGCTTGTGCTGAAGCCTGGTGCTGTGTGGCTGAAGTGAGAGTGGTCTTCAGGATGTCCCTGGGGCTAGCCACACTGGTGCAGGAGCTGTGGGAAATCCCAGGGACAAGCAGCACTGGGGCCACCTTGGTGGGCTGGACGAAAAGCTATAGCTTGGGCAGGCCAAGGAGAGACCCAAGGATAAACTGTACCACAGTCTAGAGCTGTGGCTGGAACAGGTGTGGGCTGTGGGGGACCCTAGGAAGAGCCTGGTGTGGGCCTGGGGCGTAGTGGGATCCCTTTGGCTGGCAGCTGGAGCACCTGAGCAGTGCAGCTGCCTGTGTAATCAAATGGTGCCCTCTGGTACCTCAGACAGCTCTAGGGTTAGTAAATGAGTTTCTTTCCAGCATAGTCTAGGTGCCCTTTAAACCACTGTCTTTACACAGTGCCCCAGGGTGGGCAAGTCTGTGTGTGGGCTTCAGCGATGCCTCCCTCCTGCACACTGATGCATTTGGAGTGGGGTCCCCACGATGCCATGTCTCTATCTCTCCTGCCCATTTCTGCGGTCTCATTTGTTGTGCAGAAGCTGTTCGATCAGCCCTCAGTTCAATATCTCTTTAAAGGACAAAATATCACCTTATGATTGAACATATTACATGATTACAGGATACTAAGCTTCATTTGTGTAAGAAGAGATGCAGTAAACTAGATTCATACAATAAAATCAGGTCACAGGAGTTGAGAGAAACTCAAGGCTAGGGCAGAAATAACTTAGGTTAACTGCTGATAGAAAATTAGAATAAGGTATGACTAGTGGTCTTTGGTATTTAATCTCCAGTTTCATGTAACTAATTATGGCTCTAACAGACTGATAATGAAGGTGTGCTTATTCTACAGTAGACTCACGTGTTATGAACCACTGACTGCAGTGAGTTGTGGGACCCAAGAAGGATGTTGTTATGTATTAAGCATCTGCGTCGCTGCATGAAGTCCATTTCTTCATGAAACAAACACAAACCACCGTAAGAAATACGAATTTTTAATTGTTTTTTCTTAGTGGCAGAATCACATAGCTGTTTTGATACGATTTCCAGTTAGGTCTAAAATACTGCTTTTTAGAGTTGTGAAAATTCCATTACAGAAAGACACAGAACAGACACAGGATAAATAGAATCACATCAGTTTATCAGATGGTTGTTCTAAAGATATTCCTTTCCTTATTTTCCTATAAGAAATACGTAAAGGATCAAATTGGAAATTCTACTATCAGCATACAACTTCAGTTTGGGAGGAAAAAAACGAAAGGAAAAGACAAAAATCAGTGACCCAGTTCACTCTCAATGCTGTCCATGTCTTTGCAGAAGTCTGCATGTCTGTGGGCATTCTTATTAGCTGAGAAATTTATAATTTCAAAAAATCTAAGGAAATCTAAAATATACCACGTGTGTGTGTGTATATATAGAGAGATGGTATACACAAACATGCGCGTACACACACACACACACACATATAAACATATGTATCTTCAATGTCTTATTCCCTTGAGACAGAGCTGCTTTAGGAAAGGAGTCAAACCCTTTTACGGACAACCATTTGTTATTTATCAGAAAAATCCAGTCAGAAAATTGGCAAATTTGGTACATGGTTTAGAAAGTGAAACTTTACAAATTTTATAAAACAAAATTAAAATATGCGTAGATAATTTTTACTGCCAAATGGCCAAAACTTTGTTTTTAAATCTGAAAGACTAAGAACCCCAGAGAAAAATCCACTCCTAACACATAACAGTATTATTGTAACAGAAGTAAAAAAGCAGGTGGACAGATGGCATCAAAGAAAAATAAATCAAGTAACCAGTTATCATTAAAAGCTAGAGTTGTATTCCAATTTTAAACGAAAGTATGACTACTTAAGTGGATGGCAATGTTCAAAACTGATGGAAAGGATGCAACTGATGTAACAATTTATAAACCACTGCGAACATGCTCCGCAGGGTGTACGTCCAATGAATTTACAATTACACATGGACTATTCCAAGGTATCATTTACACAAACTGCACTGAAGGTCTGGATGGTGGAGGCAAGGATCTGCTTTGTTTCTTACAGAGACACCAACACAGGGACTGCGCTCCCATTTCAGCTGCCACTTCACTAGTCACGAGTTTTAGCCTCACAGAATAAAGCCACGGCATGTGAAATTATAACGTATTTATTTTCTTTAAAACCATTTTAAAGGACACATCTGTCATTTTTGGAAGTCAAAAAACAGAAGAAAAATGTAACTGATAAATGCAGTCTTTAAAGTATTTTGTGGCTAATTATATGCTAATTTTCAAAATACAACAGAATTTTTGGACAGTGATGCCTTTAAGAAACAAAGGGCAGGGAAGTGATTCCTAGTTATTAGTAAAAATACAAAGTTCATGAAAAAATTTCAATACTTATGAAAATATCTTTTTACAGAATGCTTTTTTGTGGTTAAACATAAGAAATCTCTAATAAATAATGACTGTGAGCAGGTAAAACATGTAAGTGAATTACGATGCTTTAATGATCCTCACAATCTTCCTTTGTAGTCATCAATAAAAAATTTCAATGCCAACTGAAATACAAAGATTTCTTGTATTAACATATATTGGGACTGAGTGCTTAAAATGTCTGTTTTCCTCCCTGTAGGGCAGGGGTGAGCAAGCTGTGGCCCCCGGCCACGTCTTTCCTGCTGTTTCTGTAAATAAAGTTTTCCTGGCACACAGCCACACCCATTAACTCATGTACATACTGTCTGTGGCTAATTTCATGCGGTGGGGGCAGAGGTGAGTAGTTCATTACCATAGTTAGAACTATATGACTCTCAAAGCCTGAATTATTTACTCTCTGATCCTTTATAGAAAGTTTGTCAATTCTTGTCCCAGAGGGTTTCTCAGACCAATCTGAAATAATGTGTATGTTTCATTAGAATAAACATTTGTTCTCTTGTTCTAATGTATGTGTACAGGTCAAGTATTTTATGCTTCATTTTATTTGGTGGTATATACCTACAAATTCAATATCCTAGCTGAGTTCCATGTTGAACACATAGTATTTAGAAGACAGCATTCTCTCTGGCTCTATCGTGTTTGATTTCAGGTCACTCTGGAACGCTCCAGGATGTGGGAGATAATAGAATGGGTGAGCCATTCACTAACACAATGGCCAGTAAACTGTACATCTTATTTTATACTGGGTAAAGAAGTTGGACTGCAAAAATAACCAAAACCAAAACCCAATATACCTTAGGGTAAATAACATTCAATCAGGAAAAACAGTTCAATAGTTTTCAAAACACACATATACATATCCAGAGCCACCCTCCCACCTATCACAAACTAATAGTTACAACATAAAGTATATTTGCTTAATAAATATATTACTGTTTATATACATAAGAGATACATCCATAAAAGACATGTTAAATAATTATCTGTATAATTAATACTACTTTAAGGTTTTTGTGTTTTAAAATTATGCATTCTATTAAAATTATCAAAATATTAAAAAACATCAGGAATAAAACCAGTGAAGAGTTGCTTTCCACTCAAGCATTTCTAAATCTTATCATTGGTCACCCAGACTCAGGCATGTGTAACTCAAGGAAACAGTTCAACTAAGGAAAAGTTAGTCATCAAAAGCGTAACACCCTCCCACTGTTAATATTACTTCATAACAAATATGTGTGCATGTAGGTATACATATAAAAACACCCTTTTTAATTATAGTACACATTTTTATAAATGTATTTTCATAAAAACACAAAGTTCTAGTTTCTACCAGTATTTAATATTTTATACTGGTTTGCATTTTTTTCAAATGTTTAGTCAATGACAAACTCTGTCAGGATACAGAGGTCATAAAAAGGAGACTGAAAACTTATGTATCACATGCAAGAACAGAGGTGATACTAAGGGCCAATATTTGGCCACTTGGGTACTATTCCCTCTGTACTAAGACACAGAGACGATGAACTGGCTAATCACTGTGCAAAGTACAGTCAACTCTCAATTATTCAGGGGCAAAATATTCCAATTGAAATCCTTTCTCCTGGTAGTTTTCACTATTTACTAACACACCTCTCTTATTTATTAGCAAGTCTGGTAAAAGATATGATAAAGGTGAAAGGTTTAGCTAAATTAAAGGTTTGAAATCAGCTTTGGATTTAATTTAATGATAGATCCTCTTACTTATTGCTTTAGATAATTAAGAATTTACTGTATCCAAAATCTGCTAAATATCTGATTCTTAAGCTCTGAAAGCAACATCAGTGCTTTTTAAAAAAGTGGAGGATGGGGACGGGGGTACAAATTCCTTGACATAAGAAAATGGCTGTATCTTAAATTACACTGAAGGATTTCAGAGTGGATAGTTCAGAGCTATTCACTTCAGGACAGGTGGTGGAAGCTACACTGCTCCTGATAGTCTGAAATCCAGGTCACAATGACAAATTGTTGGCTAAAAACGTTCAAACGTCAAATTCAAGGTGTGATATACATTCTACCTAAAATCTCATTTAAATACATTTAGTAAAGTTTGGCAGAATCTCCAAACATTTATGATACCAGAATTAAGAAAACGGAAGCAAAACCTTCATGTACAATTTAAAAGTGATTTTACACTAAAAAAAGGTACTACACATCTGTATTCCTATTTTTGGCACTGGTTTTGCCCCTACATTTAAGCTTGTTCTACAGAGAGTGACCCACAAAATCAAGGAGAACAGTTTCCCAGGTGAGTGGGGTCACTCTCGGACAGACACCGCTCAGAATGGTTTGTGTGGCATCTGTATTATTTCTAGGTACAGAGCAACGCCACACTCACTTCAGAAACAACAGCAACAGTCATGTAGAACACCACCTTCCTGAATTAAGTTTGCTGAACACGGTTCAGATGATTGGGTATGTCAATGTGCACAATGCCTTTTAGAAGCATTTACGGTATACCCAAACCCTACTTCATGCAACACACGGTGTCACACAAGTAGTGAAAATGTTATCCTCGTCAAAGGTGCTTGGACACAATTTTCAGGCAGCATTTTACCTTTATTTTAAGTTCACACTAGATAAGTTTTAGGAGAAAGAAAATGGCAATGAATTTATTTAATATATTATATAATGCTAGGACAGACACTTTTATTTACCTAAACTGTTACTTTAATTTTCTACCTTATTCTAGACCTCAATTTTACTTTAAAAATTGTATTTAAATAAGGGATAAAATGTTGCCCAAAAGTCTAATCAGTTACACATTTGTGTTTTAACTAGATCTACAAATCAAAATAGTTCTTGTAGTTAAAAAGATACAATTTGTATCAACAGTAAAAGGTACTTTCTGGTTTTTTAGGGCTTTACCTCGAACTGTAGCGCATGGAATAATCAGAGTAACCAGGGCATCTTGGCAGTCTACAGAAACAGATCCATGTAAGTCCGTTACACTGAGTAAAATTCAAAAACGGGAGGCAACAGGGAAGTCACATCAATCGCATAACTGCCACCGTTTCCCATATCTGGAAAATGAATTAGCATCTAGCAAAACCCATGACTTTGAAACCAGAAATATCCCTTACTAATACTAAAACAGACTTTAGTCTGTATCTAAAACTACACTATTTGTGGCAAGAGTCTGGCCTTAATAATATAACAGGCCCCCCATAAAACTACCTCTAGGAAAATGGAAAATATACAGTATCTTACAAAAATTTTAAGTTACCATTTACAACTCCTCCATCACCATTTCCATAGTGCAGTACCAATACATGTTGCATATCCTCAACACATAAAGCCACCCCAGGCCAGCCTTGATAAATAGCAGGAAAGCTAAAGAGTGTATTAAATATAAAAGTTGCATTGAGAATAATTAGATTCATTAAGAACAGGCAATTACTGCAAAAAGGTTATTTTATCCAGTATTGTTGTGCTCTCAAACAAAAAGACAAACATAAAAAATACAGGTCAGTGAGACTCTAGAAATTCAACTCCATTTCTACCACCTAGAAGCACATCATGGCTGGATAACAAAGCTGTAAACTATAACAGTTACGACTTTTACCTTAGTCATAAAAAAAAGAAATGGAAACATTTTTTCCATTGATTGCATCTGCTTTCCTTTAAATCCACTATATTAAATTACTCAACAGACAAGAAAATCCAAATAAAAATAAAACAATGAAAAGTGCCATATTTTAAACCATCCTAATATATACTGTTACCCATTTCAACATAAACTGGTAACTTACATTTGTTTAAAATATAAAGTCAGTGCTGTAGTATATCTTTGTTTCTATAAATAATGATTATAGCACAAAGAAGCCCACTTTCCCCAAATAAAAATAACTTAAAAAGCTGTAAAAGATTCCAATTAAGCTTGGCTTGAAAAAATAGTTTGTTTGCTAGGTGTAGTCAAATGTTCAACATTCTGAAGGTACTGTAATTGCTTGTAATTGATAGAGAAACACCAAGTTAATAAAACATGAAATAAGGATAAAAAGTGCTGCATATAAACCCCTGATGCACCAAAGATTAATATCAAAGATCACAGATACATCTAATAAATCAAACTGGAAAAATTTCCAGCCAAGGATATAGCTTTAAAAAGGAAATGTTAAAAAAAAGTTTGAATGTAAAGCAATCCCGTGATACTTCCACTATGTGGGGCTATACATACAGATTCCATGATACAGTATTTCACATAAATGGATACTATATAACCTCCTTGATGAGAAGGAGATCACATGTGCTATTGTAGCAAACCTCCCTCAGCATTTGAGCTGAACAAAGAACTAAACACCACAAAGATGCATCATCTTTCAGTAACCCAGCTGTGATTTCTCCACCAAGATGGCTGCGGCGAGCTGCTGGGCATCTGTCACGTGAGGGTTCCTCTTCATGACGATTCTCACAAGGTCAGGGGGGAAGATGTTGCACAAGTTAATATAAATCTTTTCTCGGTTGTCTTGATACCTTGGGGGATCTTGCGGCAGTCCACAGTATGGTATTCGCCACGTCGGCTCCTGCTGTTCAGGTAGGCTCTGGAAGGTGAACTGCTCATAACATGGCTGTGTGGAGTTATCAGGCAAGGAGTAAGTCTGCCGATAGCCATACGCCTCAATCCCGTAACCCTGCCTGTCCCAGGTTCCCAGCCCTTCCTGACGGGAGTAAGGCTTTCTCTGTCTTGAAGGAGAACTGTCATACAGCCGAGAGTCAGAAATGCTGTCTATTCTTGTGGCCACTAAGGACCGTCCTAAGTGTGGTGCCTTACAGTGTGCTGAACTTGGCGGAGAAGGGTAATCACCAGGACAACTGGACCGGGCTCCCACAGCAGGGTGCTGCAGGTGCATGGCCAGATGCGGAAGAGGAGGCTTGTGATGGTACTTTGGTTCTTCATGACTATAACTTTGCACTCTGGTTAAGGGGTCGTGGAAATTCTGCAGGAAGGGTTGGGAATTAAGGCGGCTGTGAGGGTACATGTGTTGACACTTTAAATTTTCTTCTAGTTGCGGGTCAGGAGAACTGACATAGGACCGGTCATTGTACCCCACATAGGAGTCACTGCTCCCACAGCTCATGCTCCCTTCGCTGCTGCAGTCAGAAGCAACAGAACTTATCCTATAATCTGTATCTAAGGAAAAACGCCTTTCAGGACTTCGTGGGCCTGAGATACTCAGATTTGAATATGCATTCAACATGGAATAATATCCAATGTCAACAGGTGAGTCACATTTTGGATACGATTCATAAGGCATTGGCGTTCCATGATTTTTGGTTGCCATCATCATTGGAGGATATTGTCCCTGTGGTCTTTGATCCTGAGGTGGGAAATGAACTCCAGATGGAAGGCCATTGCTTAAAGATGTAGTGCTTTGGGGTTTTGCAGTAGAAGTAGCTGGTATACTAACTAAGGAAGGTACAGACCTGGTTTCCAGTTTGTTTTTGGTGGGAAGCTTTTCCTCTAGGTCTTGGTAGACTTGAGTCCTAATACTGGGATCTGACTGCCTCTTTGGAGCACCTCGTTTGCCATCAGAAGTGCTGTCAGCCTTAGTGCTGCAGGGGACACTGTTGCTTTTCACCAGTCCTCCTTCATTTGTAGTTTTGGCAGCTGTATTTCTTGACATGGCACGAAGCTCATCAGCCACTGACCGCTGTGGCTGGCTGCCCCTTTCCGGATGGTAGTATTTGCACTTGTGTCCATAGGTGCATTTCTTTCCTACGAAGAGTAAAATTCATTAGGCGGAGGAGCACACCACCAGGTCCTGAAAACTAGTCTAGCACTACTGCTTTCATTTGTAAAAGACACAAAGGCAGAAATGGGAGATACACTGAGTGTTACTCTGCTCCTTACTTTCGAGAAATGCCGCCTTTTAGCCTTCTCTCCTCAGCATGGTTAACTGCACTAAGGAAGCTGGATGAATGATTAATAATCACCCCCAGAGTTTTTGGCTAATACCCTGTGTCCTCAACTCTTATCTACTTATTCTCTTCCAGTATGACTTTACGGTCAAGTAGGACATTCAGTTTTGGGGAAACAATTTATATTGCTGTAATGTAATAAAACCATTCCAATCTGATGTGCATCTAGATATAAGAACTCCAAATTTTTATCTACATGAAAACTCATGTAGAATTTACTAAATGAGTTTTTGGAACCATGTTTTCATCCCAAGAAATGTATTTGCATTGAACCCAACTAGGTAAAAATAATTACTACTTTTTCACGGTTAAGGATGTTCTCTTAAATTTAATTATAATCAAAAGTATGCCAAACGAAACTAAAAATGTTTATTAACAAAAATGTAACAACATACTGTGTTCTAAAGGCATATATTAAATACTCATAAAGAAAGTTACCATATGGACAAGGCTGCTTTTTGTGTTCAGGAACAATAGGCTTCTTCCTCAGAAAATTATCCAGGCTTGGGCCATGTCTGCCAAGGGGGTCATCAGGAGGCATGAACCTGTCATGGATAAAATACAAAATTATACCTAAGTAGGAAGTTGACAATTTAATTACCAAAAGAGTGTAAATATTTATTAGTATAAGGTATTTGTTTTTTCAATTTAATCCAAGTACTTTGAATCAATATTTATAGGATAAAAATATTAATACATAAAGTTCTATTTTCTTGATAAAAACAAAATTTAACTATTTCAAGCTGAACTCACATTTGTTTTAACTCAAATTTTGAGTCTAGCATGTTCTAATTATTTTTTTCCTTCTTCTCAGTCTTAGGATTTTGTGACATTTTAGGAGAGTTTTATAAACACCAATCTTGTGAAGCAGTATGAACTGGGGATGGGAGGGGGAGTGACGAGGGGCCGCAGAGGAAGGAAGGGACACAGTATAAACTGGGGGAAGACTGCCTCTAACCTATGGCCTAGCACGTGCCAAGTCCTGTGCACACATCATCTCCTTCAATCCCAGCACGATCCCTGAAATATCAGCTCTATTTTATAGATCAATATACTGTTTAAAAAAATTTTATTTATTTATTTGTTTTTAGAGAGGGGGAAGGGAAGGAGAAAGAGTAGGAGAGAAACATCAGTGTGTGGTTGCCTCTCATGTGTCCCCTACTGGGGACCTGGCCTGCAACCCAGGCATGTGCCCTCACTGGGAATCGAACTGGCGACCCTTTGCTTCATAGGCCTGTGCTCAATCTACTGAGTGTACCAGTCAGGGTAATACACTCTTCTAATAGATAAATTAAATTAAATTAGTATCTTTTGCAGCTTTTCATCAAGCTTAGATAAATTAAGTTACTCTTACCTAAGTTCATATGGCACAGTCAAGACGTCTAACTCCATAGTCCATTCTCTTCCCACTCTACTAAGATGCTTCTCAGGAGATACAGAAAATGTTTTAAATAAACTGATAAAACATGGCAGGACTTTGGGATTGGGACACATGGCATCCAGTATAATCTTCCCTCCGCCATAGGCGGTGCCAACTTGTGATGGGTGCAGGCCCCTCTGTAGACTTGTTGTAGCAAAGAAACCCAGTGCTGTTGTGTTCAACCCAGAAGGGACCTGGCTTTGGGGACAGGGATTAAAGTGATGGGATCAGAGGTGAACATTCCTACAAGCCGCCGGACTTTCTCTAAGAAGCTTGGCAAGCATCAGCCCCACAAAGTAACACAGGCCAAGAAGGGCAGGGATTCTCTATGTGCGCAGGGAAGGTGGCGTTATGACAGGAAACAGAGTGGCTGTGGTGGGCAGACTGAGCCGATTTTCTGAAGAAAGGGTAAAATTACAAAGATTGTGCTGAAGCTCAACTGTAGTGAGTCCAGCTGCAGATCCAAGGAATACTGGCTATTAAGAGATACAGGCATTTTGAACTGACAGGAGATAAGAAGAGAAAGGGCCAAGTGATCCAGTTATCATATTTTGTTTTATGCTTCAAATTTTGTTTTATTATGTTACAATAAAACCTTGAGAATATGTTCACATATTATTTTGGATTGATTGTTCAATGGCAACAAGAACTCATGGCATGTCTAATAAAAAGCAGTTATAATGAAAAAGTTCTGCTACTAGTCATGTCACTGTTTGAACTTGAAATAAACCAAATTATTTACCCATAAAATGTGAATAATGTTTGAACTTTAAGGGAGAGTCAACATAGCTGAGTAATAACACTTAGCATATACAGTGTTTAATATTAATATAAAAACAATATGACATTAAAGTTTAAAAATAGTATAGTCAATCCTACAATCTTAATAAATTAACTTCTACTTATGTTTCCTTGTAGTCACTTTTCTGTATGCATTCACCATTTTACAAATACAAAGTTTATGCTTTCTCTTTTTAACATATTTTTCCATGTTTCTTAATAGCTTTTCATAATCTTAATTCTGGAAAGCAGTATTACTTATAAGTAACTGGTTTTACTTACTTGTCATTGACAAATGAGTACATTAATAATCGCTCATCTATGAACTTCTTCCATTCTGGTTTTTCATTAGCCAAATCCCTGTAGTTATCATTGGACACAATTATTCCATCCGACTCGAAAGCCAGCTTCACAATGAACCTGTCGTCATAGCACACCACGCGCCTGCCCTGGACTCGCCGGGAGGGTGTGAACACCAGGATCTTCTCCTTCTCCAGTTTACGAAGAATTTCTTGATCTGCAGGGTAGAATTTCAGGAACAAGTACATATAAAACACATTTAGCAACTTTCATACAGTGTAATATTTTATAAGCTGGGTATATGTAATCATTTAATTAGTTTGTAATAGTTTGTAGATGTAGCAAATTTATAACTGCCAATAATATTTTTCCTTCAGGATTTCCAATAACAAAAGCTTTAAAAATAGCCCCCTCCAATGAACTTACAAAACATAACTTTAAAAGTTCAAAACTTTAAAAAATTTTAAAAGCATAAAACTTAACTGAACAACCTGTGAGTTACATCCCTTCTTCCTGCTTTCGCTCCTCTACTCCCTGCCGTCCCAGCATTGTGAGTTCTGGCAGAGTCACGGGCGTAAGCCAACAGATACCATCATTTTAAAAAAAGGCTTGCTACTCCTTAGTGCTTATTAACCAGAGTCACTGATTTTTTAAAAAATCTATCTCTTGAGCAGATAATCACTACATGCCTGCTCTATGGTAAGTACTAGGCTAAGTGCTAATGGCCACTGAGATTAAGAATGACCTCTCCTCAGGAAGGTGTCCGGTACTGGACTGGATACACACACATGTAAACTAGGCAATCAAGGGTTACGACTGCCCTGGTTTACGACAGAAGTATGAGGACGGTGTGTGAGAAGAGGGGGTGGGACAGCGACATGGATCAACTTGCTCTGACAGTGGCACAGATTTCATGATGTTCCTGATAAAATTTCAAATTTCATTAAGATGAGACCTTTGGTTTTGAAAAACAGCAGAGAAGTGGAAGAAGTGTGGATCTTAAAATCAGCAAGTTATGGATAGATCTCAGGTTCTGCTACTTTATATGTATGGCGATCAGTCTTATGAAGCCTGCTTCTTTGTGTCCTCAAATGCATTCGATGGGCTATGAGGAGTCAATGAGTTATTTCTGTGTAAAAGCACTTAGCACAGTGCCTGGAAAACTCTCAATAAACACTGTGTTTTTCTTCTACTTAATTTTGTTTATAGATGTATATAATTATTGGTCCCCTTTAAAAGTCACAGAAAACCAACACAAAATTAAAAGCCTGGTCTCAGCTGTAAGATCTGTCACCTTATAATTATTGGGTGTTCCCCTGATAAACATTTTGAGGGCAGGTTCCATTGTCTCATTTATCTCTGTATCTACCAGCACTCAGCACATCAGTAGATACCCAATAAACACCTGCAAATGAATACATTAGCTACTTAATGATGTACATTCAGAGGTCTTCCAGTTTATTTACTATGTTCAAGAATAATCCAGTACTTTACTTGTCAGAACATTTAGTCATGTAAAATGTGCCTGGATCGTCACCAAAATGACTGAAGGAGCTGGTGTGCTGACCTAAGAGTCACCATTATCTTGCTCACTTTGCACTCCTTAAACTGCTAATGAGAAGAAAAGGACACTAATTAGGATGACAGTGATAATTAGATGACAACTGGTTAGGATAAGTAACCCTAACTTAAGTAAATGTGGGTTTAGTATAGCTAGTGAGTTAACTGAATCTCTAGGTCCTTGCACATAGCTGAGTACCTGCTGGTTAAGTATTTAATAAATCAACGAAAGACTAGAAAAGCTGCTAGTCTGGATCTATATCTGAGAACTTGAAAATACTTCTTATCAAGGTTCTTTTCTGGCTGAGTGAAAAGATGTGGGACTACTCAACTTACCTGTTTGAAAAGTTTGAGTCCAGAGAATTATTATTATCCTTGGGGGAGAAAACACCTAACAACCAACCTCTGACAGTAGAAAGATGCACTTTCCTTTGTGTTCCAGATACATCATGCTAGAATTCTTAAAAATAAACTATCATTTTAAAATCATTTTTAATTGTTATTCAACTATAGCTATCTCCATTTTCCTACCACCACTTTCCTCTCCCCCCACCCCCATCATTTTAACTTAAAAAAATGATTTTATTTACTTTTAGAGAGAGGGGAATAAAGAAAGAAAGAGGGGGAGAGAAATATCAATGTGTGGTTGCTTCTTGGAGGCCCCTCACCAGGGGCCTGGCCTGCAACCCAGGCATGTGCCCTGACTGGGAATTGAATCTTTGATGCTTTGGTCTGCAGGCCCGCGCTCAAACCACTGAGCTACATACACCAGCCAGGTTACATTTTAACTTCTTGATCTCATATTCCCCTGGTGCTCAAGAAGCTTTCCATTCATTTTCATGTTTAAATACTATTTGTTTCTTTTTCAGTTTGATTATCGTTAATATTTGGGCATGTTTCCTTCTAGTCATTTTCTGTGTATTTTTTTCTTTCTGTTGTTTATATACATATGTATATGTGTGTATATATACACATACACAATAACAAAACGTGCCTTTATGTAAAAGAACATTCCTCAGGCCATTAAAAATTCTGCCTAATAACCTAATATATATTTTGTTCTATCAATGTATACTAATTTATCGAACCATATTTTAAAAGAAGGTATGGGTTGTTTCCTTTTTTTTCTATTTTAAGTAATATTGCACCGAATGCCTCTGTGGTCAGAAGTCTGTGTAGACCTCGGCTTATTTCCTGTAGAATTATTCATGCAATGGAGATAGTGGATCCAAGAGTATTAATATTTTAAGACCAAACTTTTCCAGAGAGGTTGTAACAATTTATGTTTCCATAGCACTGGAGAAGTAACTTCCTCAAAACACTGAGTATTATCAGCTTTTTATTCCTGTGAATTTCATGGGTGAAAAATAAGACTTGTTTAAATTTACATTCCTTTAATGACTAATGAGGTTGCACACTTCTTTCACTTGTTTGGCACTTGCACTCTTCTGCGAGCTGTCTCCACCTCCCATGTTTATATATTGGGGAGAACTTTGCATTATCAATGTGTATGAGCTATTTTTATGTTAAGGACATGGATTCTGTGTTTATTAGTTTTTTTTTCCTTAGGCAAATAAAAAGATTTCTCACTTTTAAGAAAATTCCCCCCAAATATAGAAGTGTACATTTTGATGCAATTAAATATCTTTTCCTTCATAATTTCTTCTAAGAATTTTAAATTTAGATAGGTATTCCCAGCCATTCAGAGACTATTTATAGTCTCTAATGGTTTGATTTTTGACAATTAATTCTTCAGCCATCTGGAATGGACTGTTACATGGTGTAAGATAAGGATCTAATAAGTGTGTGTACTTTCTCCATAGAGTTATCCAGGGTTTTGGTACGACTGGCTGTACTACACTTACCTCTCCTCTCTTACATAGGCTGGGGTCTGAGCCCATGGCTCTGAACTTCACCATAACTTGCCTACCTGTTCTTATGCTAGTTTGATAATGATTATAAATAAAAAGAAAAGTCTTAAAATAAGACTTCAGGTACATGGTACTTGGTTTCTCCATTTACTTTTGACTTGGAAGTGTATTTTCATCACATAGGTCCCTCAGCTTTTGTTGCTGTTGGAGGTGGAGAGTAACGAGAAGGGTTAGATGCTCACTGAGAATCACTTCACTTGAGCAAAATGTTCAGCAACAATTATTAGCAGGCACAGAGGGCATTTTTGGCTGAAACTTGTTTACTTAGAAATTATAAAATAATGTAAATGAGATACTTTATTAGGATAGAGTCATTTCCTGCCCCTCAGGACCAGACAGCATATCCCGAGTCTCAGAGATCTTTTCTGACCTGCAGTCACTGTAATTTGATACTCATTCTGTCTAATTCTTATAGCAGATAAGAAAACTGGGGTCCAAAGAGGTTCAGGAACCTATGGCTGGTAAAAGGCAAAGCCAGAATTTGAATATAGGTCTCCCAACACCTAGCAAGTCTCTAAAGGTCAGAATTTCACAAAATCTGAAGTAAAATTTTCCAAATTAAAAAAAAAAAAGAGGCTTATGTAATAAGGATTATTGTTTATTTAGCACAATCAGATAGTTTTTTGATTTGGAAATAACTCTGATGTTCCGCCAAGACCATGTACAGTTACACTGGGTAGACAGAAAAAGATTAACAGTGTTCAGTAGAATACCTGCCAGTGCCAGACACCTGCACAAGGATACACACAAACGAAAAGTAAACAGATACCAGGGCTTACCTGTAATGAGAGCATCGGGTCGGGACTGCTCTTTTCTCCAAGCAGGGACAAAAACTGTAATATCTTTGTGGCCTCTTTCCAAAAACCAATCCACTGCCAATTTTATTCCTCGGCAGGAAAATACTTCTTTGTTTCCATGGCTGAAAGATTATTTTTAAACACAATACAACAAAACTCAAATTTAAATTAATTCAAATTTGTGAGCAGAAATGATCACATAATTACAACAGGAATAGGAAGTTTCAAATTTAGGGTGGAGTTGAATAGCTCTGAGAAACATTAAGATAATCTAGGTGTTGAAAATCTGTGAGGAAAAAATAAGAAAATTGGGATGATTATTGTGTGGAAAATAAAGAAAATTAAGTTTTCAAATGTAAAGTTGTCAAGGTTAACTACTTAGAAAGCTACATTGCTCTCTTTACCAGAATTCGAAGAAAAGAAAGGGGCCTCAAACTTAGCAAGAATAATTTCAGTCAAATGTAAAAAGGGCCCTGGCTGGTGTAACTCAGCGGATTGAGCGCGGGCCTGCGAACCAGACAATTGCGGTTCCATTCCCAGTCAGGGCACATGCCCAGGTTGCAGGCCACTTCCCAGCAGGGGACGCACGAAAGGCAACCATACATTGATGTTTCTCTCCCTCTCTCCTTCCCTTCCCCTCTAAAGATAAATAAATACAATCTTTTAAAAAATGTAAAAAGGGAGTCACATAGAAAAAAATCTGTAAAAACAATGAAATGGAACACCCATTTGTTTTTAAAAAACTTCTTTCTCAAGAGCTCTTATGTGTATTTCAATATAATGATTAAGTAATGCACAAAACTTATATGGTGACCACATAAAAAGAGTGTACACACATGCACTAGAAAGAAAAATATGTGCACAATGCTTAATCTCATACAAGAAGCCCTTTCCATGTCCTTCAAGGAGAAGACACCTGGTTTCTATTTAACGTTATTGTGTCAGACAAGAACTAATGATGACAAAGGGCATTCAAAGTTGGATTAGCAGTTGTAGTTCCTAAAAGAAAAGCCTGACTAAGAACATAGTCATTCAACAAGTATTTATGTAGCACCAGGCTCTGCTTACGACTGTAACCTAATAATTCAACATAACACTTCTAATGGTTTAAAAAAAAGTTTCCTGTTTTGAATGCAATAGCAACACTCTTTTATAGTTTGAGCTCTGAAGGCTCCATTTCTTATCTGTAATGGAAACAGATATTCTTTATTTCTTATGGCTGAGAAAGGATAAATAAAATAGATAAATGCTTTATTAACTTTTAGCGCAGGGCAAACATTAAGTATATTAATATATTGTTCTAGTGGTCCCCTGGGAAGCACTAGAACCAACTAAATATGGCTAGCCATTTTAAAACCAAAAAGAGAGATAGACCACCTTGTTTTTTAGATATTGAAGGCTATGCAAGCACACCACACAGACTCTGTGGTTCCACACACCCATCCTAATGAGCCGGGACATGATCAGAGCTGAAATCAGATGTACTGGGGGTTTCAGGGGAAGGGATACTGAATGGAGGAGTTTGAAGTCACATTTTCTAGATGAGAAGGGCTACTGGAGAGCCTCAGACCAATGCCCCAGCAAATGACACAAGGTGATGTTAGGTTTCATGGAAAATATTATTTAGTCAGTTTTCTGAAAAACTACAGAAAAGGACGGTATCATCTCTTGAGAGAATATATATACTAACCATTCCTAAATACAAAAACTCAACTTGCTAAAACCTGTTTTATTTTGCACTAATGCTTTGTAATCTAACTGTATGATTACTTGCTAGTCATTAATGACATTTGGTTTATTGAAACTTCTGACTCTGAGAGACCACTACAAGCCATCTCCCCTCCAACTTGGTAAGAATAAACGGTCACATTTTATTATAGGAAAAGAAGATTCTACCTTAGAGTTAAATAATTTTAGTAAAACGTGGGTAAGCAACAAACATGAGGCAAAGATTCTATACATGCTGAAAGAAGACACTGTACCATGCAATACTGATTAATAAACACTGTTTTCATATTGTCTCTTTCCCCCTGCCCCTCACCCCGAGCCCCCACCCCACAAAGCCTCACAGGGAGAAAATGAGCAGGAGGATGAAGGGTGTCATACTATGAAGAGTCAACTGGAACATAAAGACCCTGGGTTTCTGAGCAGATGAACCCAAATCTGTCTCTGATCTTGTTACCTGAGGAAAAAAGACCCTTCCTCATTTTTTTTAGGAAACTGTAGTTAATTTTTCTGTTATTTGTAATTTTTCTGTCAATTTTTCTGTTATCCTTAACTGCTACATTAGTTATACCATAAACCAAAAAACCTAACAAAGCTGTATATTAATATCAGAAAAAATATTTTAAGGCAAAAATTACTAGTGATAAAAATGTTATTACATAGTCCCCCCATTATCCTCTTGGATGGGGGGAGCGTTAGGGGGAGAATGGAGGCAACTATACTTGAACAACAATAAAAAATGTGAGAAAAAAAAGAATGCAAATTAAAAAAATATACCTCCAGTGGGAAAGTGGAGTTATTACATAATAGTAATAAAGGACCAATTCACAAGGAAGCTATAATTGTGAACTCAGTCTCCATATGAGTTATGCAAAAGATCACAGGATTACTAGAAGAAATGAACAAATTCACAATCACATAATGGACAGATAAAGCAGAAAACACTTAGTGAGACTGTAGGCTGAAACAATCAATTACAAGCTTCATCTAATGGACACATACAAAATGCTGCACAAAATTAGCGAAGAGAAAACCTTTTCAAGAACACAGAAAAGAATGATGAAATTAGTGTATGAGGCCATAGAACAGATTTCAACAGACATCATACATGTGCATTATACAGATAACATTTTTGACAATGTTATTACATTGAAGATGTAAGGTTCTAGTTCAAAGTTAGTATTGCTATTCAACATAAAACCAATTAAAATTTCAATTTAAGAAACAATTTTATTTGTAACAGTGAAAAAACTGAACAAACCTAAGAGAAAATATATGTGAGAGATTTATAAAAAATGAAAATTAAAAACCTGTATTAAAGGGAATATGAGAAGACCTAAGTGATGGTAAGACTCAACTTATGAAGAAGCAATTCTCAAATTATTCTATAGTGCACTACAATTCCAATAAAAATCCTTAAAGGGTTTTTTTCTGGGACTTGAGGAACTGATTCTAAAATTAATATAAAAAAAACAACAGGCCAAGAATAGTTAAGTAATTTTAAAGAACAAAAGAGGAGAAACTTCCCCACTAGTTATCAATACTTAGTATAAAACTACAGAAATCCAATCAATGTCGTACTGGTAGAAGCAAAGATAAAGAAACAGAGAACATGTAACCAAAAAGTGACAGTAAGGTGATACACATGTATAAATGTTAAAGTGACATTACAAATCCGTGAAGAAAACTACTCAACAAGTAGTACTAGGGCAATTGGTTATTTATATAGGAAAAATAAACTTGTATTTTTATCTCATATCATATACAAAAATAAATTGTAGATAGATCAACCATTTCAATATGAAAAAAATATTGTAAAGTTCTTAGAAGAAATTATAGGAGATGTTCACACCAGGATAGAAAAATACTTCTTAAAGAAGATATGCAACCACACACTCTGTTAAGAAAAAGACTGATACATTTGGGCACATAAAACTTCTTTATGCAAAAGACTCCATAAACAAAATAAAAATGCCACAGACTGGGAGAAGGATTTACAATGTATAGGACCAACGAAAAGGTTAGTACTCAGAACATATAAAGTACTCCTAACATTGAGAAGAGTAACAGTTGTGTTTTTTCCTAAGGTAAAAGATATGAACAGTGAATTCACAGAAGAGAAAACCCAAATGACCAACAAAGATGAAAAGATGCTCAATAGTGAAGAAATGAAAATTAAAGCCAAAATGAGACACCACTTCACACTCATCAGATTGGAAAAATAAAGTCTGCAAACACCAGATGTTTCCAAGGATGTGTGAAAGTAAGAACTCATACATTACAGGTGGGAGTGTGAACTGGGGTAACAATTCAGGAGAGCAATCTGGCAATACTTTATAAAGTCGAAGGCGTGTTTTCTCTAAAACACAGTATTCCACATTTAGGTATAGTAAAACCCAACAGTAACTTGAAATCAGATTTAATGCAATTAGCAGATGGCTTTCATGCTCTACCCAGCCTTAAATCTCAAGGGTACAGGCTAATGTCTTTATCTTTTGCAGGGAGAGGGAAAGCCAATCTTCCTTCCCCTTACCAGGCCAGAGAAATGAATGTTGACTAGGAAATCCCTGGAATTGCTTCTTGCCCTAGAATTTCTTGCCAGCCAAGGCCCAGAATCATCCATGGTAACACTGAAGTCCAAGCAGACCTACTAACTGGGTCCAAACTGCAGGTGGGACTTCCACAGATTAGGAGAGGTTGTGGGAGACTGAACTTAATCTAACCCTACTGAGTGAGGCATGTTGAAGGATGTGACTAATCACATGTACCGATACAATAAAAGGGGCAACTGAGGAGGTTCTGATAATTATAATAATACAGTAAGCCTGATAAAAACTATTAAAAACAGGGTGTTAGAATAAGCCTAACCTAACTACTGGTACAAAGTAACTGAGTGTTCACTATAGCCACTTATGGGCTATATGTGCATGAATTCAGGGTTGTTTTTCCTCAGTAATAAAAATAGCTAATTATATTTTTATGAATTGGTATATTCCTTTGGGCCTCAATTTCTTTTTTATTGTGACCATTTGGAAATAAGGATGGTATACCTCAAGTTGAGTCCTTTGCCGGGTAAATTTATTGGAAGACTTTGGTCACTTTTGATTAGCTAGGAAACTGAATATTTGCTAAATGCAAAGTATCCCTTCATCTGCTATGGCTCAGTGGGATTGGGCTCCAAGGGAAAACTCCAAATCCTTATTGCAAATTCTGAGGTACTGTTGAGCAAACTGGATAACTTAGGCTTGAAGGTTACATGTGATTTACCATTGATTTCAACAGCAGAAATACACAAAAAGCCTGCCAGTGGGTTTCTTTCTTAAAAGGCTTATTTTACTGTCATGTTTCAAATAGCAAGCTTATAAAAACCCTGCTTTGCAATGGCCAGAGGAAGGCT